GCCGGTGAGGGGCGGGTCTGTATGTGGGGTCCGAGCCCTCGGCGGGAGCGCCGCCGCGCTCCCAAGCGGCGCACTGTAGCAGTGCGCCACCGGGCTGGCCCTATTCTAAGTAATTTATACACATGGAATCATATAATGCATGGATCTTTGTGTCTGGGTTCTTTTATTTAGTATAATGTTTCACTATTTTTAATTGGTTTTGCATTGCCTTTAGTGGCTGTATAATATTACATTGGATGGGTATACCACATTTTGTTTATTCATTCATTAGTTGATGGACATTTGGAATTGAAACAAAGTTATTTGGTATGTAGAAAGCGTGTAAACTGAGAACTGTATTAAGGTGTATCTAATAAGTAACATATATACTAATAAGTAAAATAATTTAAATGCTAAGAGAATTCTGTTGTAGTTTAATTTGGAGAATTTGGGGTTTTTTTGGACTGTTTCTATTTTGGGGCTATTATGAATAAATACTTCTTTGATAATTTGTGTGTAAATTTTTTGTGTGGACAAAACTTTTGTTTCTTTTGGGTATGTATACAGGAGTGGAATTGCTGGATCATATAACTCTATGTGTAACTGAGGAGCTGCCATACTGTTTTCCAAAGCCTCGGTACCATTTCACATTCCCACCAGCAGCCCAGTTATTCCACAGCCTCTCCAACATTTGTTGCTGTTTATCTTTTTGACTGTAGCCGTTCTATAATCAAAGTAGATTAGTGTGAAGTGGTAGTTAATTAGGTTTTAATTCTGGTACAGAGCAGCAGGAAAAGAAAAATCTGTTGTGTTGTCCAGTAACCACATGCAGCTTTAAATATGAATTAAATAAAATTTAATACTCAGTTTCTCAGTCACACTAGGCCACCTTTTAAGTACTTAATAACCTCAAGTGGCTACTGTACTAGCATAGACAGATGTATGGAACATTTTCATCATTGTAAGTTCTGTTAGATTGTGCTGGTCTAGAAAGTGTTAGTTTGACAGCGGCTGGAAGAATAGGCAGAGAATGGTAGAGGGTCTGAGTGGTGTAGTAGAAAGGAGTGCAGGCATGGAATTTGGAGGAGAGAAGAAAGAAACTTTGGGGAACCATTTACAAGATATAAGACTTAGAGAAGAGAAGCAAAAAAGTGAGAAGTTGAAGGAAAGTTTCTTAGAACTTGATTTAATTTTTCTACAGTATCTTGAGTTAGTGAATGGATCCAATATAATATCCTCATTTTATAGGAGAGAAAAGCATAAATTGCTGGTTGGCCGGGATAAATATAACTGTATATTTACCAGTTATGGGAAGGTACTTGAATCTATCTTGGTCATTCTTAGTATCTTCTGGGAAGATACAGGAAATAGATGGTTGAGCTGAACTAAAAGGAGTTGTTACTCTAGGAAGATTACTCAAATGGAATAGGAAAATAGAAAGCAAAAGGTTTAAGAGTGGATAGGTAATTTAATCATGAGAGTATACAGCATTTTCTATAAGGAATAACCAGGAAGTTGGGGGAAGGCTAGAGAAGAGTCTCTGCGGTTTGTGCTGTGTTTTGGTTGTTAGTCACGAGGTTCTTTTTGCTCCAAGGCACCCTCATGTTGAGCATGGAGCAGAGCCCCCTTCTCCCATATGCCCGTCTCACCATTCCCGCCACCAAACCAGTTGGTATGGTTTGTGTTGTCAAGGCAAGATAAATCTGGAATGTTTGAGCACAGTCTAAGTTAAATATTCAGTAGGGCTGTTGGAATGAACCTTTTCTTCCCCTAAAGGTTATTCTATTTTATTAGTCTGTAGAAATCTTCATAAAATAGACCATCCTCCTCTTGTTCTCAGTATGATTTCTCAGTCATTGTATATAAACCTCCTTACATGCAAAGTAGGCTTTTTTTTCCCCCTCTCTGCCCTAGGCTTTCATTTTTGTTAATTGTATTACTCTACCCAAAATGATCCATGGTGTGTTCCAAACATGATATATATATGTACATTATTTTTGTTTTGTTTGTTTTTTGGCATAGCCGGTAACAAGGATCGAAACCTGGACCTTGGTGTTGTCAAAATCACGCTGTAATCAACTGAGCTGACTGGCCACCCCTTATACATGATGTTATTGTAGAGACTGCCTTTCTTGCTCAGTTAACAAATGTATATTTAAGAGCTTATCTAGTTTTAGCTTTGTGTGCTGCCAATGTTATTTCAAGTCCTCTTAGCTCTGAAATCAATCAAGTATAAGGGTGCTTCAAAAAGTTTGTGGAAAAATAGAATTAAAAGATAGTAAGAATCTTTCCATGAGCTTTTTGAAGACCCCTCATATGTACCACTTAGTTGGAAGAATGGTTGTATTTTTTTTGTTTGTTTTTGTGGTTTTTTTGGCAGCTGGCCAGTAAAGGGATCCGTGATCTTGGTGTTACATGGCTATGCTCTAACCAACTCAGATAACTGGCCAGGCCTGTTGTATTCTTTACAGGTATACAGAATGGCCTTATTTTCTTAACCAAAAATTGGGACTAATATTTTGATTAAGAACTTCTATGCTGTCTCCTGATAAAAGGGATATACTGGGAAATATCTTTAGATCTTGAATGATGGGATTTCTGGGATATTCTGCTGGCTGATGTGGGGATATCACAACAAATATTTGAAATTAGGATTCTACTGGCTATTTGGGAAAGTAAGATCTCCCTTAGATACCTGCAGAATGGCTAATTCCCAAATTCCGGAATGATTATTGCTTTATGAAATGTGGAAGATAATGAACACTGTAATATTTAGTCAGTTCTGTTAAAGATATAGGATATTCTTTTTACTGAATGAACTAGAATGCACAAAATAATTCAAATTAGTCATATTCAAGGAGGAAACCTTGAAAATAGGTTATATTCTGGTGAGCAAGGCTAAGAATTTTTCAACTTTTATTTTTTTTATTAACATCTAGTTTTCAAACATCTTTATCACACAGTAAAATTCTTCAAAAATAAATTTCTTGAGCTTTCTTCCAGTTTCGTTCTCAGTGTATTGCCATTTCTTTCCACAGATTTGCTTGTAAATGCATCACGACAAGGCAGCCCAGAATGAAGAAAGCAAGCAGGAGTGTTGGCTCAGTGCCTAAAGTGTCTGGGATAAGTAAAACACAAACGGTAGAAAAAATTAAACCTGAAAACAGCTCTTCAGCAACTACAGGAGGCAAACTTGTAAAACTTGGAACAGCAGCATCATTGTCAAAGGTATTAACGTGGTGATGTTTCAATATGCGATGGATTTTAGGAGGAGTGAATTTTAATATGGTGTTTTATTTACTAAATGAGCATTATTTAGGGTTCACCCTCTACTGGTGTTTGGAACGTATAGCTTTGGAGAGCTTACAGTGGGGTGAACTTAATTGGTGTTTTTGGTCTGTGTTTAGAATGAAACCAAGTAATAGACTAACTTGTAGAACAAATAATTGAGCATCTGCATTGTGGGCTCTGTGCTCATGTGAGCAGGAGGTAGAGTTTTTCTTCAAGGAGCTTGTGAAATAAAAGATGGAGGTGAGGCACAAAAATGGATAACTGAATGATACGTGCAAAATGTCAGGTGCCCTGGGAGAGTAGTAAAGCAGTGTGAACAGTTTCAAGTAGGAAAATACTGTTTTCCTAGCCTGAGAAGGTTTTTATGAAAAGAGCATATGAGCCAAGTCTTAGAAGATGACCGTCGGTAGTATTCCTGAACCCTTAGATGTTTATATTCCCACCCCACCCCTTTACGCACCGCACATTGCTGTTCTTTTTCTGACAGCGAATCCGCTATTAATCCTAGTTAAATTTGGTAAGCACATATTTAGTAAGCACATAATTAGTTTTCTTTACACTCCTTTAGGGGTTGATTTAGTTCTTGTTAGTATAGGCTAGTAATTAGACCATGAGCTTTGGGAGCAGAGAGACCTGGGATCAGTACCTGCTTCATAGGGCTGTGGTCATGGTTAAATGAGGGAAGATATGAAAGTGTTTAGCACAGGGCTTGGCACACAGCACATAATGCTTAGTAAATGACAGGTTGTAGTATTTTTATTGGTTAGCTCTGGAAACTTTTCTCTATCTCAGGATTGATTCCTGAGCGTTAACAGTTTCCCCATGGGGTGTTCTTAGTGTCTGTGTCGGTTTGGACCATCCAAGGGATAAGATTGCTTTCTGCCATTTTTCTGCTGATCAAATCTTAGATGTCATTGCACAGAGATCCACACAGTTGTGTGTATTTTTCCAGCCTTTCTCAGTTAAGAATTCATTTGTTTGTTTTTTGCTTGTTTGTTTTAGAGTTGTGGTATTTTGGGTAGAAACTTTGACTCTGTGCAGAAAACCTGGAGGTGGTTTCTGCTATTTTGATAGAGAGAAACAAAGCCTTTTTTCCCGGCAGGGCTTTGATAGATCATGGCTTAATTATTTTAAGAAGCATCTCAGAGGAACAGCTGATGAGGGACTTCCTTGCATATGTTGAAAGATCTAGCAGGAAATGCTGGTTTTTCTATTCCAAGGTTGTCAAAACTGAACCCAGACTTATTCCATGGGCTTGGAGACGCCCCCAGACTTTCTCCTTGGTACAGCCCTGCTGAGTTGCTAAGTGTCATCCTGTGGACTGGAGGATGGTATCAGAAATAGACCTTTGCCCTACTTACTTTAGTCTGAATCAACACCTAGAATTATTTTCCTGGTGGCAGTGTTGCCACTGTGTCATGTAAGACAGGTGGCATTTCCTGACCTAACTGGTTACTCAGTTTGTGGGGCTGTCTTCAGAGTAAAATTCCTATGTGACTGGGTGACCTGTTATTTATGTGAATGGAAGAACTGGTTGAAATGTTTTCATTGGATGTGCACTACTGCCTTCCTTTGTTGCCTCCTTGTCAGTGGCTGGCAGTGTCTTTGAAAGTTTACAGTGGAGTGTGCGCTGAGCAGGATTGTTGTATCTTCTGAGGACTGGATCCAGAGTTGCTGGTAGTTTGACTTTTTAATTTTATTTTAGGTAGTTTTATCTTGAACAGTGAGTACTTTTCCATTGTAAAGCAAAGCTGTATAACTGTTTTAGCCAGCCCATGCCAGTTGTCCATAGCTTTGGCTCTGCTGTGTTGGCAGGTTTGTTTAAGTAGTTCTGTGTGTCAGGTAAGAGGTAAAACTGTTTGGGAGCACTTTGCCTGGACTGAAGCAATTGCTTTCACTTAAGAGAAGAGAAGAAAAAAGTTACTGAGTATAAACTAGAGACAGAAGGAAAGAAGAATATAGTGAAAATGCATGGAAAAATTGGAAACATTAAGGGGCTTTGAGATCCCACAAACTTAAGTGTTATCTTATTTTTGTAAGTTTTCATGTTTCAGTGTATTTCTCTGGCACATAGGTACCTCCCACAACTTGAATTCCTGTACCTATGATGGAGCATTGATGATTAACCAAATGAATAAAGTGTTTAGCTTTTAATGCTTTAAACATCATGTGTACATACCCGTTCATGTATAGATACTCATATGTATGTATCTGTCACTGCACAATATGCTCATTACACTTGTTATAGTAGCTGGGTATGGGGATATGCATTTCTCCCCTCTTTCATTTCAAATATTGTTTGAAGCTAGACCTAGTTGAGAGTTAGGGGAAAGGACTCTTGATCCAGAGCACCATACTGCAGATTGGAGCTTTTGTAAATATAAAATGAAGCACTAATGCTGTTCACAGTGAGTTTGGGAGAAATTATTTCCACTCTTGTCAGGAACTGTTACATCTGGTTTGGGGCCTTTGTATGGCTAATTCTCCTTTGTCACAAACAGTGGAGAGGATTGTTTTCAATGTAGAGATGGTCTCCTTGGCTCTCGCACTTTTAGGGTTTACATACTGCTCATGTATTCATGGCTAGTGCTTGCAGAAGTAGTATACTTTTTCGTTATACTGAGAATACTTTTTTTCTAGAAATGGGTAGATGGGAGTTAGTACACTTAGAATCTAAATAATTATAACTCTTGATGATTTGTGATCATACTCTTGCAATATAAAAGTCAATAGTATGAGCGATCTGTCTCTGAAAATTGAAAGGTAAAATTTGAAAACTAATCTTAAAATTTGAGATAAAGATGCAGACTATGAAACTTGAACTTGACCTTGAGAAGCTTGCATATTTTGGTTGTAGTATTTCATTATTTATATCTGGAATGTTTTTACCAACTGATTTGTATTTTGCATTTTATTAAAAAGTAGGCTAAAATTTTGTTCCTTCACCAATTAATGTTTTTAGGCACTCTTGCTGATGGGAAATGTTATATGTGGGAACACACATGTATTTACAGAATTTTGTAGCAAAAATTAAATAGGGAAAATAGAGAGCCTACAAGTCACTTTGTATAAAAGTCAGTTGGGAGTTGCAGAGTTGTTTTTCATTTTGTTTTTTACTTTTTTGTTGAAGTATAGCATACATACAGAGAAGTTCACAAAGCATAGTTGTTGAGCTTAATGAATCAACGCATAGTGAACATACCCTGCAAGTACCACCTATGTCGGAAAACAGAACATTCCTGCCCCTGGGAAGCTTCCTTTGTGCCCCCCATTTAATTACTGCCTTTCCCATCCTTCCCACAAATCATTACCATCCTAACTTCCAGCACCAGAGATTAATTTTGTCAGTTTTTTTTTTTTTTTCCTTTTTGTCTTTTTCCATGTCTGGCAACGGATCGCAACCCTCAGTGTCGCCCCCGTACTGGACCAGGACCAGCAACGGGATCGCACCCCTCGGCATTGCTCCCGCGCCTCGCTCAGCCAGTGAGCGGGAACCGGTCTGTATGTGGGATCCGAACCCTCGGCGGGAGTGCCGCCGCGCTTCCCAAGCGGCGCACTATAGCAGGGTGCCACCGGGCCGGCCCAAATTTTGTCAGTTTTTTTTTTTTTTCCTTTTTGTCTTTTTCCCTGTCTGGCAACGGATCGCAACCCTCAGTGTCGCCCCCGTACTGGACCAGGACCAGCAACGGGATCGCACCCCTCGGCATTGCTCCCGCGCCTCGCTCAGCCAGTGAGCGGGAACCGGTCTGTATGTGGGATCCGAACCCTCGGCGGGAGTGCCGCCGCGCTTCCCAAGCGGCGCACTATAGCAGTGTACCACCGGGCCGGCCCAAATTTTGTCAGTTTTTGATCTTTATATAGATGTAATCATACATTATGTGGTTTTTTTGTTTGTTTGTTTTATCTGCGTCTGGTTTCTTATCCATATTGTTGCGTATAGCCGCAGTTCCTTACTTTTCAGTGCTGGTAATCCATGGGATGAATATAATACAATTTATTTATCTGTTGTACTGTTGATGGACTTCTGGAGTTTCCACTTTGTGACTATGAAGAATAATACTGTTATGAACATTTTTATAAGTGTCTTTTTAGTACATATGAGTACCCATTTATTGTTGTCTCTATAACCAGGAGTGAAATTACTGGGTCATAGATGCATATATGTTTACCTTTAATAGATAGGGCCAAATCATTTCTCAAAGTGGTTACCATTTTATACTCCTGGTTATTCCACGTCCTCACCTGCACTAACATTGTTACTCCTTTCATTTTAACCATTCAGCGGTGTGTAAAGGAATGGCGCAGTGGCTTTCTTTAATTTGCATTTGTGTTTTTACCAATAAGATTGAGCATTTTTTCATATCTTTTTATATGCTCAGTGGACATTTAGATGTCCTCTTCTGTGAAGTTTCTGTTCAAGTCACTTGCCCATTTTTCTGTTGCAGAGTCTTTTTTTCTGCAACTTTTTTTATTGTGGTAAAATATGCGTAACATTTGACAACTTATTTTAAGTGTGCAGTTCAGTGCCTTTAAATACATTCACACTGTTGTGCAACTGTCACCACCATCCATCTCCAGAATTTGTCATCTTGCAAAACAAACTCTGTACCCATTTAGTAACTTCCTATTTTCTCCTCCCTCGAGCCCCTGGCAACCACCATTCTTCCTGTCTCTATGAATTTGACTACTCTTGTTACCTCATATAAGTGGAGTCATATGGTATTTGTCTTTTATGTGACTGGTTTATTTCACTTAGCATAATGTCCTCAAGGTTCATTCATGTTGTAGCATGCATCAGAATTTCCTTCCTTTTTAAAGCTGAGTAATATTCCATTGTATGAATATGGCACATTTTGTTTATCTGTTTATCTGTCAATGGATACTTGGGTTACTTCCACCTTTTGGCTATTGTGAGTAATGCTGTTATAACCATGGAT